ATATTTTCATTGTTTTGTAGTATGTTAAGGGGGTTGGGATGGACCTTAGAGGTCATCTAGTCCCAACCTCCTTCCATGGGCAGAGACACCTCCCACCAGAGCAGGTTGCTCAAGGCTTTACCCAAGCTGGCTTTGAACACTGCCAGGGTTGGGTCAGCCACAGCCTCCCTGGGCAACCTGTGCCAGTGTCTCACCACCCTCACAGGAAAAAACTTCTTCCTAATATCTAATCTAAATTTCCCTCTTTCAATTTATACCCATTACAATTTAAATTTATACCCATTATATATATATATATCTAAGTGTGTGTGTACACACACATGTATCTCCATACATATAATGTGGATCACTGCAGCAGTTGGTCTCACTCAGTCTAGCCTGAGCATCCCAGTCTCCCGGGTTTCTGACCTGTAGACATCCGAGTCCCCAAGGCTTCATTTGCTGGTACAAACCACCATGTGTACACACACAGACACAGACCTGGCCAGGGCTCCCCTCATCCCTCCCATAGCCAGCTCATCCCACCCTTGGAGCTCCCCTTGCTCCCAGGCTATGTGGTCTGTTCTGACCTTCACTGATGATCACAGACACACTGGCCTACCACCTGTGCTGTGGTTCCAGCTACTGCACTGGAACCACACACACAAAAGACAGCTCAGGCAGCAGCTACCAAAGGATGTCCCTTCCTCCAAACCCCAGTTTGGTCTCCTGTTCTGACACTGTGCCCCTGTGCTCCTTTAGTCCTGGGGAAGTGGCCATTTGACAGGCTGAGGGCAGTAGTCAGGTCAGAGCATTATTTAGCCTCTTCTACGTGTCACCATGGCTCTGTTCTTCTTTGAGGGTGTGTGGATGAGCTCCATCACATAACTTAGAGGTTTTAATTTATTAGTATAGTAAATGCTCTATCTATAGCTGTATTAAAAAAAATAAATGTATCTTTAGATGGTTGTGCTCCCTCAAACCCACAGAGTTCCTGTTATCTACTTTTGTCAGTTTATAAAGGAGATCATAATTACCACTTTTTTTCCCAGTACCTCACAGATAAACACCAAGGATAGATCTGGAAGGAGAAGATATACTCCCTACTCCCTGCACCTTCCTCCCCCTTCTCCCCCCCCTCCAAAAAGTATCCCCATACATGCAAAGAACAGAGCACAAGACAGCTATGAACTGCTCTATCTTCTTCCAGCAGTAGCACAAAACCTGTACCTATTCCTCCAGCGAACCTCTCAATCCATTTCATATCAGCTTAAATGTAAGCCAAGGCTCAAAAAAGAAAAAAGCATTAAAATCTGCTTTTGAATAGATTAGATATTTCAGAAAGATTTGTTCTCTCTCCATAGTGGGACCAGTGCTATTCAAACAGACCAGACATCATCAGCTGTCAAGAGAGGAGTAGGGCAGAGACAGCTCTTGCACACTTCTGATTTATGTTTCAGATCACAATTTTGACTAGCCAGTCCAGCAAAGAAATGGTAAAGCAGCTGGAAAAGAAGTTAAAAGATGTAGACCTTGTGAGTCTGCGAAAAATACAAGTCATTGAAGTTTTGAAGAGAGACTTTCTGGAGTCTGAGGATGTGGAGCAGTGCTCGCCAGAAGAGCCCAGTAGCAGTGGTGAGTGTAAGGCAGACGTAGTACTCAGGGCAGTTACACTTTTGGACAGCAGACGAGTCATGAGTTCTTGCTTTAATCCCTTATCTGCCACTTCCCTTTGTGCCATTTAATGCCACTTAGGTAAGCAGGAACTGCTGTGCCTGGAGGAACAGCAGAAAGTTTGTACTACAGAACTTCTTTGGGGCTTTAGCACATTTGGGCAAAAGGAGCACATAGACTCCATGCATACTTCAGCTCTTGTTTCACTTAAAACATACTTCATATGCAATACAGCTTTACTGAGTGATTAAAGGGATAAACGCATCGAGTTCATGGGAGTAACACTCTGATCCTCCATGCAGGCAGAGGCAACCTGGTACTGAGAGACGCAGGCAGAAAGTGGGGGGAAGAGGCAGGAGAAGCAGGCAGACCATTTGCAGTTTCAGGAACTCTACAGAGTTAACCCCTTTTAGTCCTTTCTCCCAGACTATGTGTTGCACAGTACTGGGAAGAGTTATTTTCACTGACCAAGTCAGGTACACAGCCTCTTGCTTAGCTGGTTTATTGTTACTAATGCTGTTCTTGCTTACCTGCTACTCTTCTCCACGCTTAGGGCAGGTTTTTTTAGCTCTTAAGGTTGTACTACTTCAATAACCAGTAGTATGACTCCATAGCCTTACAGCCTCTGCTTTCCACAACGGATCTCCTTTTAAAGGTCTTTCCTGATGACACGTAAACTCCCCAACAACAAGACACACCTGGTACACCAAGCTCTGGTTCACACAGCAAGTTCTCACAATGAGTTGATAAGGAGCTGAGTCCTGATGCCTTACAAAGTTATTGTAGGACCTGTTACTAGCAGTGACAATGTTGTTTTCACTGAGTGACAGGCAGCATTGGATGGTTTTGCCTTACTTGCAGCTAGCTGTTCATCTTCTTTTCTGTTGCAGTAGCAAGTTCCTGGTCAATTGTCAGCATAGGGACTGGGAATGTTGAGGTGGATTGCAGGTTCCCTTTTGCCCTGTCCCTTGCACACCTGGTCACATGCTTCATTAATGAAAGAGTGAGACCCCAGACGCAGAATGTTATTTTTCCTGGCCATATCTCTGAATGTAACAGTTTTCAGCAGCAAGAATTTAAGCAATGAGAAATTCAGGGACTGAAATTCCTGTTAGCTCCTGTTTTGAGACTAAGTAAACTATACTCTAAATAAACCATCCAGATGGTGATCAAAAAGTCCAGTACCAGCACTTCAGTACATGGCAACGCTGCTATAACTGCAGCTTTCATATCAGCATTTTGTTTTTCTTAACTTTCAAATCTCCTCAGTGGTTTCAGCTCTTTCTGGAGCTGATAAAATGCTAATTAGCAGGAGTTTAGGCTGGTTTCCCCCCACCTGCTGCACAGCACTGACTAGTGCATTTGCTAGGGATTAGGATGGTTCTCCATGCTGCCTCTGCATCCCATCGAGCTGATGGCAGACCAAATCAAACACTGAGTAATTTCAAGCACTTATAGGGACATCAACCCTCTTACTGCCCATTAAAAGCTTTCTATGCTCTCAATGAGACACGACTTGTTATTCTGGACTCTGGGAGAGTCATTGCAGGTAAAACTGCATGGCCAGAGAAAGGGAGTGCACCATTACCTGGGAACAGGGAGTCCTGAGGAGGAGGATCGGGATTCTGCCACTCTGGTCTGACTTTAGAATTCATTTAATATGCCAAAACCTCACCAAAAGTTTAGCGGCTGTTTGAACCCATTACATTTTTAATGTCCAGAGCAGGAGCAGGATCATAGGCTCATTCCCAGGTTAGTGCAGCTAGAAAAGACTCCAGTATTTTGAAACCCCACAGTTGGCAAGTCAGAACAACTGAACATGCTCAGAACAGCCTGTCGTGGGTAACAAACACTCACTGTTTTCCTCACAAGAACAATTCCTCGAGAGGTGCATTTCCAGACAAACAGAGACCATCTGATGAGAGACAAGGACTGGTTTTTCAAACTGCAAAGTGGCTCCTCTGTAGGGCAGAGGCTAAATCCGCAATGTTTCTTTCATTATAAAGCATTAGGGCTTGCCAGACTGCAGACAGGAGCAGAGATCGTGGTGTAATCTAAACCCCACAGAGAGCAGTGCATACAGCATTTGTGGTGGGAATAGTCTGTGGGAGGAATGGATAGGATGCCTGGCCTTTGGATGCACTGGCCTCTAACTGAGAACTGGAGAATTACTCGTTTTCTGGCCCCATTACACTCGCTGAAAGCAGCTAAACATTGCCAGACCTGTGGCTAACAAAGGTCAGTATTTGCATGTGTTAGAGATACTCAGCTAGTTCTGTTCAGGGAAAACAAAAAAACAAGCACTGAAATAAAGCACTGGTACAGTTCTTATGGACATAACCCGTCTTCTGCAAGTCCCAGGGAGCCTTTTTCTATATGGGCTCTGTAGATTGCTGTCCAGTAAATGGCTCCACATACCTACTCTCCAGGAAATTTGAGACCTACTGCACAGGAGATGTTGGCATCTATCATGGTTTAACCCCAGCTAGCAGCCAAGACCCACGCAGCCACTCACACACTCCCCCACCAACGGGATGGGGAGAGAATTGGAAGGGTAAGACCTAGAAAAACTCATGGGTTGAGATAAAGACAGTTTCATAAGAAAAGCAAAAGCCATACACACAAACAAAGCAAAACATGGAATTAATTCACTGCTTCCCATGGGCAGGAGGTGTTCAGCCATCTCCAGGAGAGCAGGGCCCCATCATGCATAGTGGTTCCTTGGGAAGACAAACGCCATCACTCCAGATGCCCCCACTTCCTCCTTCCTCCCACCTTATATACTGAGCATGATGTCAGATGCTATGGAATATCCCTTTGGTCAGTTTGGGTCACCTGTCCCAGCTGCGTCTCCTCCTAATCTCCCACACACCCTCACCTTCCTTGCCAGCGTGGCAGTATGGGAAGTAGAAAAGGCCTTGGCTCTGTGTGAGCTCTGCTCAGCAACTACAAAAACATCTCTGCATTATCAACTCTGTGCACTCACAAATCCTAAACATAGCCCCATACTAGCCACTGTGAAGAAAGTTAACTGTACTTCAGCCCAAACTAGCACATCATCCAAACCAGTTTTTCCTAAGCATGCACGCAATGAATGCAGTGAATGTCTTTTAAAATTGTCATGTATTGTTTCAACATTAGGTATTTCAGTGGCTACATATCTATTACAGAAGAGAAAGTAAAAAAAACCCAGGAAAATATTTACTGACTAAAACATTTACCAGCCCCAAAACACAGATAATTCCACTTGTCAGCTGTGTTTTACTATTTGTAACAGTCAATTACATAGGTTTCCTGGCACTTTGTCTTCTGAACTGCTGATGCCATCTTCAGTGCATATTCCTGAGAGAAGCCCAAGTCTAAAAACCATAGGGAATGCATCACTGCAGGAACACAGCCAGGCAGCTCTCCAATGTGTTAGTGCATTCTGCAGGGAAATGGGAGCAAGGCTCGCAGCATCAGGGCGAGGCACTGATGGTGGTAACAGCTCAGTTCATGAAGAGCAGCTTCCAGGAAGAAGCAGGACATTCCCTTCCAACACAGTATCCTCCATGAGGGAGAAATTCATGTTCCCATAAAAGAAGACTGGGGTAGGGCACAGTAGCAATGTTAAAATACATTTTTAAAAGCTGCTACAAAACTAAGTAAATAATTGGTTTGCTATACAGACTTGTGAAGAACTAAAAAATAAAAAAGAAGGCATGAAATGTCCTGGCAACCAAGGACAGTCAGATTGGACATTAAGGAAAGGCTTTCAGTAGCAAGAACAGCATGAAGGACCTGTTGTGAGTGGGAGTCAAGTCTGCTGTGCTGCAGAGGCACAACCTACACCATCCCAGTGCCTTCCTCAAAGCTGGGAGGGGGATACAGACAGAAAGTGGGTCGTGCTGTGGCAGCAAGTGGCAGAGCATTTGAGAATTCCAGTCATTGTAACAGCCCTGGATTGTTTGCCAGGTAGAGGGAGAAAAATTAATTTCGGGGGGGGTTTGGTTTGTTTGGTCTTTATAATGCAGGAGCAGATGTATAATGTCACTTTTGCAAACTAGAAATACTAATGCATAAAGAAAAGATTTCTCAGTGTAAATACAGCAGTGTATTTTAGTTCCTCACTGTCCTGGTAAACACGGGGGAGAAAATGCTATTTCTGCTATTTATTCATCTTCTCAGAAAAGAGGTTTCACATCCTGGATGCATGGTAAAACTATTAGTGCTACCAGGCTGTTTGTAGCTTCTGTGTTCACAAGTGGGTGTATTGTTTCTTATGCAGTTTGCAAATTTTTCACTTCACCTATTTTTTTAACTTAATTTGCTGGGCTTCAAGGTAGCTTCTCATTTAGATGCACCTCTGAGGTATTATTTGGGGGTGATTTAGGGTTGGTTCTTTTTGCAAGGGTTTATCTTGTTTATGACCTGCCTAACTATGCTGTCCAGCCTATGTTTCTCCATGCCTAAATGTTGTTGCTAGATCATAAATGTTTGTCTGCATCTCCAACATGGGAGCTTAAATATTTGCTATGTCCTTGCAAATCTTTTTATGCTCTCCTTTTAATTTCCATTTAACAAGTCTCTACATCTTACGGATTTCTCTTGTTTGAAATGAAATGTGATGGTGGTGGATAGTATTGCCTGCTGGTGTATCTGCAAGGATGTTCTACTGTGAGGCTGCTGTGTTATCAAGCAGCACTGATCAGTAACATGATGAAACTTGCCCTCTGTGTGGGCCAGGCCCAGGTCAAGTTTTGCTTCTGTTCCTCTCAGATCTGTGACCAGCTGCTCCTTTTACACATATTGGAGATGTTCAGCAGTCCAGCCACAGGGCCATACTGCAAAGTAACATTCATCTTTGGGATGAGGGGTAGTACTTTTCATCACTACTACCAAATTCCCCAGTTTTGCAGACTGATTTCTCATAGCATCATGTATCCAGTGCCCCTTGCTTAGGGAAAAGGAGGAAATGCTTTAAAATTGAGGAGTGTCTGAGGCCAGTGCAGCGATGGCCACAGCAGAGGATGGTTTGCATCAGTCACAGCTTGTCCTCTGAAGATGGCAGTAGTTTCTACAGCCCAGTGATGAGAAGGGTGTTGGGGTGGCCTATGGAGCAGCTCAGCTCCTAGCTATGTCCCTGGAATCACAGTACTATGCTGTGATTTGCATAGTAATGGCTTCCAAAGCACTTCTGTTCTGTTGTGAGAACACTTGAGGGACTAAGGAGGTATAATGAGGTGGAAAATGCAAAGAATGTTCTTTTCTATGGCTGAAAATATTTGTGGTTTTTTCCTGCAGACATTGCTATCCTGGGAATGGACATTGATGTGCAAACTGTAGAGGACACTGTCATCAGCTTGGAGATGCTGTTTAAAACGTGGCTACATGACTATGGCATGGAGAGAGAACAGCTCCATCTCCTCCTTCCATCAGGAGGCCTCAGCCATGCTGCTGCACCCAAGAGCACCCTGAGTATTTCACTTTATCTCCCCCTCTGAAGGGAGCTCCTGAACCCCACAACCTTAAAGACTACCCAGGCTTGTCCTGTGAGCATGTTCTCTCCCATTCCAGACCCAAGTGAGGTCTCTGGGTGACTTGGAAAGCTGTCAGGAGTCTCTCTTGCCTCAGGCTGATAGGAGCCACTTGCTTAGAAAGCTGCTAGTTTGTTGCCATGTCCTGTGGCTGCTGAGGCTACAAATAATTTCCACTCTGCAGCAAAAATGTGCCTGGAGGAGCATGTGAATTTACAATGACCTGGTCAAGGCAAAAGGGGCCTTTTACATCGTGAGAGTTGAATAGCACTAAAAATTGTGTTCCCGGTGTTCAGTACTAAAAGTCTATGCCAGAGGTGCTTCTCATGGCCAGCTGCCCACTGCCCAAACTGGAACTTGCCTACCCAGTTACCAACAGATCATTTCAACAATCCACCAAACATGTGGTATTTCCCCTTGCATGTAAAATGGGGAAAGGCTGTTGCCTTGTGTCAGGCTTTAGCATTGTTCTTCCCTCAACAGTTGCTAGAAAACATTAACTTTGTAAGTGCTTTGAGCATGTCATGTGCTAAAAATTGCCACTTCCGGTGACCTAAACCAATCTCCTTCTCCCCAGTGTGCCTGAAGTGCGATTTGCAGGAGAGACTGCTTGACCCAGCTCTGCTTTTGGGTGCTGATGGCACCATGAAAGTAGCAGATCCAAATTCACCCTGCCACATGGCAGCCTGGCCAGGCACAGTGCTGCACAAACTCCGTGTGGTAAAGTAAGTGTTGTTCCATGCCTTGTGCTCAGTAACTGGGAGGTGGAGCAATAGCAGCTTCACTCTTCATGTGCAGTGTCACCTCGGACCTGGTAACATCATCACTGAGGGACTCAAAGTACTGGTGAGAAAAACTCTGATGTGAGATACCCACAACCCCATAACTCAGACTGTCATGGAACAGCACAGCCCACGTGCAGACAGGAGCACAGAGTCACATGTGGTGTTACCATGGCACTGGTACCTGATCAGTGTCACACCACAGGTGCTATTCATGCAACAGTTGTTTCCCTCCAGTGTAAAGTTCTGTAGATTGCAGCCATTGCAATAATTCTGCTGTTCTCTCACTACCTAGTGAGGCCACAGCAACTGATTGCATGTCAGAGCCTGAGCTAAGTAGTTGCACTGGCACTAAAAAAGCAAGCAAAGCCTTGCAGTGCTGTGTGACTTCACGTAACAATGTACTCGCTTTCCCGTCAGCAGCACATGGCTAGTAAGCACAGAGCGTAGCACGAAGGTCTTTTCTGAGGTTTATGGGGGGGGGGGGAGGGGGAACTGTGATGTTGTTCTTAAAATGATTCTCATCCTATCAGTAGCTGAAGAGCACTAACACAAGCTGTATATTTGCAGGGCTCTGAAGTCTGAAGGGGTCTGTGAGTCTGTACTGTATGGCCTGCCCTTCATCATCAAGCCCACAAGCTGCTGGCAGCTGGACTGGGATGAACTGGAGACAAACCAGCACAGCTTCCATGCTTTATGTCATAGTCTTCTGGTGAGTGTCTGAAAATTGCAGTCTGATGTGGAGGGATGGCTAGAGAAAGGAATAGTTAGTGCACACCTATTAAGAACTCTCTAGCTTGCACCAGAAAACGTTTCAAAAGCTGTAACTTCATATCATGGGCCAGAATTGAGCTTGTAAATCCTTCCAGCCACTGGAAAGATGCTGCACCACATCAAACCTTGGAGAAGACCCTCAAGGCTATCAGAAACCCAGTGTTTGGGGGTATGAAGTGCAGGTGTCAGAGTTGGGGTTAGATATGCATCCTTAACTGCAAAAATAATTAATCAAAGCTTGGAATGTGGAGGAAAGTCCACCATCGACAAGTTGTAAAGCAAAATTGGATGTTTTTCTTAATAATTGACCTGCATTCAATTAAAAAAATAAATACCACACTGTCCTCAACCATACTGCAGGATAGTGTTCTTACTCTGGTGTGTGTGAATGTGCCTGCTCCTGAGCCACACAGCCTCCACAGGGACAGTGCTGAAAGAAGTGGCTATTGCTGGTTATTCACATCAGGTTTGGCTTTTGCTATTTAGAAAAAGAACTGGATGCTGTTGGCCAAACGTGAGCCCCAGAACACCAGTCCAAACTGGAACATTGTGGTGCATTCCTATTACATCATCATCCCTTCCGACTCTGCCACTCTACTTGTCAAAGCAGTTGCCATCAGAGAGCTCCTGCTGCCATCAGCCTTCCCAGCCCTCCTGCCTGAGCATCCCGAGCGAATCCTTGGCCCCATAGAGGTGAGTCACTGCAGTCCTGCACCAATACATGTGCAAAGATCCCACCTGCACAAGTAGAGATCAAAGATCAGCCTTTAGGCACAGGCCATGCAGCAGCTGCTGAAGCTGTAGCCATCTCCTTCCTTGCCAGGGAACACAGATCTTCTCACATAATGACTAAAGTACCTCACAGAGAAGTGTTTTAGGCATTATGTGAAGAGATCTAGATAAATCAAGACATAAAGTGTTTCTTCCAGTAGATTCAGGCTTCTGTGTTCCTTGTTGTGCATCTGCTCCAGGTGATGCCAGGAAGGGCAGAGCTGTCACTATAGTCTTAGCAGACAAATAGAGAAGGAAACAGCTGTGAAAATATCTAGGGACAGCTGGAATATGATGGAGCACTGCAAAATGTCTTCCCAGCAGACAAGATATCCTATAGCTTTCTTCATGGACAGCTAATGCCTGTCCTTTGGAGCAGTTCTGCATGTCTGTTGGGGCAAGGGGGAAGAGGCCTTATGAAGCAGAACTGAGGGTGACAGTGCCCAGAAAGGGTGCTCCAGCTCACTGGCTGATTCACACAAACCCACAGCCTCTACCTGTCACATCCCATAACAACTCAGTTCTTTCTTCTGAGCAGAGTGCCTTGAACAGCTTGGAAGTGGAAGTTGCTTATAACCCCTTGCACATAAAAAGCAACCTCTACAAACACCTGAAAAGTTCATTGTACAAACCTCTGCACCGACAGCAGGCCCAGCCCCGCGACCAGCGCCTGGAGCGGCACCAGCCCAAGCAGGTATGTCTCTTGCCTGTGACTAGACTGGACAGTGTCTGTTCTGCCCTTCTGGTCTGCTTCCTGCAGAAGGGCTGAGGGTGCCTCCCCAGTACCCACTGGTGCAGGGAGGCAGCATATGGCCAGGACAACACACACTTGCAGCTGGCAGAGATTCATAGATGCATTGATTATTAAGGGGTTGGAATGGACCTTTGAGATCATCTAATCCCAAAAGCACTTGCCATGGGCAGGGACACCTGCCACTAGGCCAAGTTGCTCAAGTCTTTATCCAACCTGGTTTTGAACACTTCCAGGATGGGGGTGTCCACTACCTCCCCTGTGCAACCTTTTCCAGGGTCTCACCACCCTCACAGTAAAAAATTTTTTTTTTATCTCTAACTTAAATTTCCCTTCCTTCAGTTTGTACCCATTACCAGTTGTCCTATCACTGCAGTTCCTAACAAAGGAAGAGGGATGGGTGCAGCATCAGCTCATGCAGCTGAGGCAAGGGACACTGGGCAGCTGGCACACAGCCACAGCCACACAGTGCACTGTGGAACGAGCCAGCACCTCCTTCCACAAGGTGCCTTTGTATTTTGTCCCTGTCTTGCAGCCTCAGAGCAGAGCCAAAGCTGCGGTGGCACCTCTTCTGATGGCTCCCTCTCCCCTCCAAGCGTTCAGACCAGCAGTGGTGAGGAGAGACTCCTGTGAGCGCTCTGCCCTTCCCAAGGAGTATGATGAGTTCCTGCAGTGAGCCCTGGCGCTGCTGGGGCCTGCCCACGTGCAGTCACAGCTCCTTGCTCAGCTGCACCGGGCCGGAAGCGGTCGGGCAAGACACTGAGCTTGGTCTTGGTCAGACAGGCACTTCCCATCGCTTGTTCCTCTTGTTGTTTTACGGGTTTGTTCGTCATCGAAGCAGTCTGCAGGAAGCTTGCTGCTCTGGGCCCCTCTGTTCAGAGATCCAGCTGTCCCCCACAACACCCCATGTTTCCCATTCTTGTCAGTATACATCACCAGTGTGCCTTAAGTTTTGGTTTCTGAGACTAGGCTAGCACAGGCCACAAACCACAGATTGCTGTCAGCAGGTGCAGAAGAGCTGCAAGCAGGGAGTGAGGAAATCAGACAGACAAGGCAGGCAGTAACACCAAACTGTCCTCATCCTCCTGCAGCAGGTTCA